GTATCACTTGAGACGATCTTAAATATAAAATCCGACTGCAAACAGCGAAGATCTCTCGCTCGCTCGCTCTTTTTTTGAAGACTCCATGTCTCGACGCGCGTATTTCAAAACTAATAATCTTGTACAATTGCAAAAAATGACGGATATTTCCGCGATACTCGCAAAACGAAAACGCGCGCTCATACGACTGCACGATACACGATGACTTGCTCCTTTGTTGCTGACGTGATCACGCGAATGACGCACATCGATACTCGGCGTCGCAGTTGACCGTCAGTTTCGCGCCAGTGCTCGTCGTGCAAAGAGGTCGCGGATACCCGGAATTATCACGCATCGTGGCCGACACACGTGATTATTAGTCGCGAATTTCACCGTACATACGTCGCGCTCGCAGGATGGATTTGCCGGTAAGCGAATAATAACACGATAACGACGCACGAATTAAACATAGTTTCGACAAGTACGGTAAGTAAGCGCAAGTTTGGACGGTAGCGGCGAGAGCAATAATGCGGAAACGATTCAAATCAATGTAATAGTAAAACCGCGATAATATCCTCCGCCTCTTTCTAGACACCGCAGATACACTTTTGATCCCTGGTAGTAAATTTTTTTTTTTTTGTTTGAAATAGCTAAATATAGATCCTGATACAGGGGAATGTAAGTAAATACGGATATACATTTGAAGCAATCAGATATAAATACATATACATATATTTCATAAAGACAAGAATTATATACTATATTACTTATTATAATTATATACAATAAACATCAAGAAAATACATATTTCGTAAAGTGTGACCAGATATATTCTCATAGTATATGTATCTATATCTAATTATTTAAACTCAAACTTATATCTGTATCTACTTACTGTTTTACTATCTATTTACTATCTGTATCTACGTACATTTTCCTTTTCGTATTTGTACCTAGTTACTTCAAAACAAATGTTACAACACTGCTTTTGATCCACCTCTCTTTTTGTAATTATCCGTGAACTTTTTGGAATTTTATGATATTGTTTAATTAAACAATATCATGTCATGTTTGGGTCGATCAAACAATTGCAGTCGTCACCGAGTATGTTCAGATGCTAATAATATTTAAATATCTTCATTAACACCAGAACCGCGGCTGGGTTATTTTTTACCCGATTGTAGATTATTTTTTCTCATTTCTTCGGATTTTCATCATTGGGAAGCTTTCTTTATCATGAAGCAATTGCATCTGAACATACTCGGTGACGACTGCAATTGTTTGATCGACCCAAACATGACTTCGTCGCTACGTCGCTAAAGAAGATAAAATATTTCCGTTTTTTCTTTTCTCAATTATTTCTTGCGATTGAAATTTATTGCGTTGATAAGAAGGAAAGGGGCAAGAAAGAGGCACAAAGTTTTATGATATTTTGCGTTCCCTTTTTCTCACATCTGCCTTCATAATAATAAATGAGTATCAAAGGTCATATCGGCATTAACGTACACGCTGAAACCACACGATAATATTTAAAAATCGCTTATCCGCTTTGAGTTTTCGTCCTTTGAGTTTTTTTCGTTGAGTTTTCGTCCTTTGTTAAATACATATGCAACGGCTTAGCTATTTAAATTTATGAAAAAATGTTAAGGTTGGTCGGTTCATAAATCATACAAACTTAAACGCGATAAACCAAAATAAAAAATTAGAATTAAGGAATAATAACATTAATTAATTATTTTCCATAGAATTAGCGTATATTATATATTAGTTCTTATATATTATATATTTAGTTGTATATTATAGTTAACTATTAATAATCGCATTAAGAGTTATACGCATCTCTAAATGGTGGCTTTCGAGTGCGAACGAACAATAATATATTAACGTCGTCGTAAAATTACTCAAGCTAACGATAAACTAAGAATTGCTTGTAACGTAACAACGAAAATTTAACACGACGATATGAAGGTCGCTTTGTCAAAGGATAACATGGCTTATACGTGGCACGCATCAATACGTATGCTCATTTTCAGTCTTCTCTTTTCAATTAATATACCTACTAAACATTCTCTTCGTGATTGTGCAATCAGCCAAATACGAGGACGATACGCATCTCTAAATGGTGGCTTTCGAGTGCGAACGAACAATAATATATTAACATCATCGTAAAATTAACTAAAATTAAGCTTACGATAAACTAAGAATCGCTTGTAACGTAATAACGAAGATTTAACACGACGCCAGAGCGATAATCATCCCGTTCTATTGCTCAATTAGTTCTTTAATTGTAAATACACAACATTGCAATACCATTGTGGATAACAGCGGCACAAAATCAGCAATTATTTTGATCGTACAGTAGACTGTTGTAATTTCGTCGTAAGGCTGCGGGTCGATGAATTTCTCGGTATTCGCTCGGTAAATCGCGTTTCAGTTTATCGCGCAAGATGACGGTAAGTCAGTAAAATATTGTAAGTAAATGGAGTTGAATTACAGATCTCACTTTTTTTGTAGTTTGCTGGAAACCAAACTTCTGCTAGATGCTCTCATTCTCATATGTATATATATATACATATATATGTATATATATATACATATATATGTATATATATATGCTTTACAAACACACACACACACACATATATATATATATATAAATATATACGTATACGAATGCATATATATATATATATTGTATATATATATATATATATGCATATATATATATATATATACAATATATATATATATATGCATTCGTATACGTATATATTTATATATATATATATATGTGTGTGTGTGTGT